GCCACGTGGCGCCGCCAAAATCTTCAAACCCCCTCCCCTGCGGCCGCCACGTGTCCGCGAATGCGTGCGTCCGCGCGGACACGTCCGCGAGCTTCTCGGCCTGGCCGCGGCCGCGGACTTGGCCGCGCCTGTCCGCCGCCGGGGGGGATTCGCTGCCTATAATCCATTCCACACCTGTTATTATCCTACCGACAAAAGACGCGTCTCTAATTTTAGCGGCCCTAGCTTTTACCTGTTTCTATTCCTCCATGCCTCCCATCCCCTGTTCCTGTCTCCAACAGCTTCCTATGCTTTTTTGATTTCAATACCCCCCCCCCCTCTCCCCCCCCCCCCCCCCCCCCCCCCCCCCCCCCCCGCCTAAACAGGTTCTTGCCTTCCCCTCCCCCCCCGCCCTCGGCTATGATATCTTCTACAGTATATACCTACCTATCTATTGTTCATCAACCTTTCTCATAATCACTCTCCCTTTCCGTTCTACCTACCCAAACCTAGCTACATTACACACCGGCTGCTTTCATGATGATATGTCCCCCTCTTCCTACTCATCCCCTACTTCCCCTTCTAGCTCGGCCTCAGGCATTTGATGCAGCGACGCTGGGCCCAGCTGCATCACACCCGTCTGGGAGTGGCGGGTGAGCAGCTGCGGGTACGGCTCCCATCTTGCCCAGAATCCTCTCCCTTTCTGTTCACCCATACATGTGCAGCGATGCAAATCTTCCGAGAGGGCAATTCTAACATTCTCCAGCGCCCTTTCTTGATACACCCGTAATGGCGGTGCAGATCCGTGTCTTTCTTTCTTTCTTTATTATTATTATTATTATTATTATTATTATTATTATTTTTTTCCCCTTGCGCAGGGGCCATGCTAATCTTCTCTGTATCGTTCCAATTTTAACGGATGTCCCGAAGGACATGCAGATCCCTGTCTACATCGCTCCTTCCTCAAGGTCCAGAGAGCCCACAGTACCGCCGCCCGGATAATCTCTGACGCCATCAGGTCGTCCGGATGTGATCTATCCACCTTCATCAAAGCACCAAGGAGGATAGCCGTATCATCCGCTTCCGTGACTCCCAGAGGGGTTTTGTCCACCATCTCCTGCGCCCACCATTCCCAGAAGGCCCAGACTACAGGACATCTGACAAATAGACCAGGGACATTCTCCACCTGCCCGCACCCTGCAGCATTTTTCTGCTTCCCTTATTTTCCCCCCTTTTTGTCCCCTCGTCTTCMCCCCCCCCCCCCTTTTCCCCTTTTTTTGTCCTCTCATCTAACCTCATCCAGCCACAGATGAATCTGCCCCACGCCGTTGACCAGTTGCTTGCAGAGGGAACCAAAATAAAAGAGATGACCCACTTGGCAACTGCACATTACCACTTCACGGCAAAAGGTTTGAAACATGGAAGCAGATGGGAATGCAGTTTTCGCCGAACTCTCCGCTTCGTCCTGACATAAGTGCACGACTGTTGAGTTTTGTGTTTGTGAGTTCCGCCACTGCAGTTGTTGAGCGTTTGCATAAAACACGACTTCATTTGTCCATTTTGGTCCCACTCTTATTCTTACAGATGTAACAGATATAACGCAGGGGCCATCCTAATCTTATCCGTATCGTTGCAAATTCTAGCAGATGTGATGGATGTCCCGAAGGACGGGACACATTTCTCAATTTATCCACGAAGGCCTTACAATTGCATGCCTGGTGGATTTTAAGATCAGCAACTTTAACCTTTCTCGGCCTTTTGGCTAAGATCAAGTGTAGTATCCGTTCTGATCAGTTTAATATCTGATCTGTGGTCCATCGGGCCACTACGATATTAAACTTTTTTTTTTGGGCTACGGAGGGGTCATATGGGTAGGCTTGCCTGCTCGACCCCTCCAGCGTTGCCTCTGTACTGCACTGCAGCAGAGTGTGGCGCAGCCCTCAAAAAAAAAAAAAAAAAAAAAGATCAGCAACTTTGGTGGTGGATCTAGAACCGCTTTCATTTGCTCCTCTTCATCCCATTGGTTTGTCCTGACAGACATACAGATGAGACCAAATAGGACACGATGGCCCATGAGTGAGACAGGTCAGGAGATGGGGATGCTTAGGCTACATCATACTTTTATACCGTTTTGTACGTAGTACGTACTTATATAACTGGAGATACAAGTGCACAGATGGATGCTTTTTTTAGCTTCCGCAATATTAAGAATACCTTTAAAATGAAGTTAAATGTAATGGACACACGAACCCAGAGAAGCCTTGGATATGGAAGCTTTTTAACATATTTGGTCTCGATAAATTCACATGAAACAACGGTTAGTTTTTATTCGATCTTTTGTGCTTATCCCGCTGCTGCTTTGTCTCACCGCTTTCTTGTTGCATTCACAGGAAACAACCGCTTCTGCTTTGTCTCGGCTAGTCTCGTCGTCCTCACTGCTGCCTCGTTGAATTCACAGGAAACAACGGCTCCCGTCTTCTCCCGAACATAACTCCCTCAGTTTGACTGCACAGAACTGGAAAGATAGCTTCTATACATTCGCTGTCAGGGTGAGTTGTGTTCGCGGTAAGACAGTAGTTTTCATTCGATCTTTCCTCCCCTTATTCCGCTGCTGCTTCGTCTCAGCGCTCGCCTTACTCAGTCCTCTTTCTTCCCCGCTGCTCTCTTCTGGAAGGCCATTACGAAATATAATGGCTAGTTTTTATTCGCGCTTTCCTACGTCACTTCTGCTGCTGCTGCTTTGTCTCAGCGCTTGCTTTCTGAGTCGTCGTCGTCCCTGCTGCTGTTTTATTGATGATGCTCTTGTTCTTCTTATTGATGATATCTATAAGCCCGGACAAAGAGGCACAGTGCGTCGACTTGTAGCTGTGTTCTTCACAACAGCTCCTCAGTGCAATAATCGGGCGAGCACACCTGCGAACAGGAAGTTTTGACCAGAATAAAAAGACCCATAACTCGTAAACTCAGAAGAAGATGACTCTATAACAGCAATTGGTGATGTGCACCGATCCTAAAGAAGCCCAACACGCGCCCCCATACCCCCACACTGAGTCAAGAATCAAGACCTTTGAGCATCGCAGAAAGGAGGACAAAGAAGAGGAGCAGGAATAGGAGTCAGGAAGTCTTTTTTTTTTTTTTTTTTTTTTTTTCAGGAAGTCATTTCTAGTTACCAAGAAGAAAAAAAAAGAAAAAAAAGTATGTTGAAGCTGTGAGTCTGCGCCTATCGAACGCTGCTCTGTGCGGGAAGCAGTACCCTAGCTCCTAACAGAAGCCTGGTTCCGTTCCTGAGGTAGGGTAATTCTTCGATGGTAGACCTAAGGGGTAGTATAAGGGGTAGTATACTTGGACCCTACAACCTAAAAGGTACATCGCTCGGGGTAGATCGAGTGATATTAAAAAATAGTGAGAGAAGAATATAGAGTAGTGAGAGGATTTGGTGATGTGCAACAGCAATCGGCGATGTGCACCGATCCTAAAGAAGCCCAACATGCGCCCTCATACCCCCACACTGAGTCAAGTTCTTTCAGCATGGCATAATGGAGGACAAAGACGAGGAGCAGGGATAGAAGTCACCAAGWCATTTCTAGATAMAAAAAAAAAAAAAAAAAAAAAAAAAAAAACGTTTGTAGATAGGTGGGTTGAAAAAACTTTCACAAGGGAGGAGGTCTGGTGTAAGTCAGACAGACAAAGAGACTTTTTTCTTGTACTTTTTTTTTCTCCCGTGCAACATGGGATATAGGTAATTGGAGTGGAAGTTCCCTTTCAAGTTTCAATACCATACAGTCAAAAGGAAACTCTGAGAGTATTCATTTAGCTGCGGGATCACAGTGTACTCTTCCATACACACACGAGTGTGTTGTGTACGTAGAAACCGTGCACATCACCCAAATAAACGGGATCTGATGCGTGCATTATGACGAACAACAGTAGGGATTAACATCCACCATAAGCAACCAGATGCAGAACAGAAGATTGCAGCATTTTTTTCTTCACTATCAACATTACTTTCAAAACAGAGACGACACGAGCAAAAGAGATATCAGCCTTGAGACGACACGAGCAAAAGGGCTATCAGCCTTACTGTCAAAAGAGACGAAAAGAGCAGGCAAACAATCAGCCTCACTTTAAAAAGAGACGACAAGAGCAGAAGAACTTCCGGCCTTATGTACTCTTAATTTTTTAAAGGGGCGACACAAGCAGAAGAGCAAGGCATGCAAAGTAGCAGAGAGAGGTTTCAAACAGCAATCGGACATGCACACCAAGGACAGAGGCAAGACCATAAGTCTTTCAGGATGTTCTTTCTTTCTTATACCCTAAAGCACTTTTCGCTGCTACGCTTTGCAAGCTCATCAATCAGGGGGAGCAATATTTCAATTTCAAGCAAACAACTTTTCTTTTCATACAGAAAAAAAAAACAGATGAGTGGATCCAAAATTGAAACACTCACACCGTACGATCTCCTATCGAGTTATACATGATGTTTTAAATGACTAGAACTACGTTCCGATAATTGTAATATTTAGATGAAATGGCCATTTCAATGTTGTACTCCGAGAGGCGCAGCATCCACCACGTCTAGGTACTTATGGCATGGAATGTGTACACAACTGTATGCTATTCAGCACACCTGCACTTATATATTGTCTGCTCTTTGAATCATGCTTATTCACATGCATTTAGTAGTTCTTTCAAAGGTTGTAGGGGTGTCGGGGTTGTTACGGAGGGAGGCAAGCCGGCAGGAGGCCGCACACACCGGGTTCAGCCACCCTGACGGCCAGGCGAACCCACCCACACACCGAGGTCACTCAAGGTGGAGCGCACAACCTCGACCACACAGAGGGAGTTTCACCCTGGGACCGTCGCTACCCAGAGCGCTGCGCTGGGGTGCACCACCCACAAACTCCGAGGTGCGCCACCCACAAACTCCGGGTCCTGTATCCCTGAGGCACCCAGCCGGGAGACCTTGTGGCACCATAGTCGCTGGGTGCTAAGGGGATAAGTGTCACTCCTGCTAGGAAGGGGCCGAACCCCGCACTCCTCCCGCTACGCATCTCCACTGCGCCCACCCCTCCTGGAGTCCTCTCCCCCCATGGCCTCCATACAACCCAGGGGGGGCTGCACGCTGCCGTTTTTGGGCCCAAGGAACTGCATGGTCAGGGGTCGGCATCTGATGGGCACCTGGTGGGTGGATCCCCAGTTCAGATCTTGTACTTCTAGCAGCCCCTGTACACAGTCAGAGCCCCTGGCCGCATGCGAGCTCACTGTGCGAATGGCTGTGCGTTGGTCAATGCCTGCCGGCGCCGTATGCACAAGGCTGCAGAGTACTGAGCCTGCAACCTCAGACCACAATGTGCATTTGCAACCGGTGCTCTACCCACCAAGCTATCAGCCATCCACGCATTTAGTACTTCTGCACAAGGGAACAGAGGAGGGAAAAGGGGATGGGGAGTGAGATGGAGGCAGGAAGAAACAGAATGGGGGAAAAACGAACCTAATGTGTTTCTCAATAGTCGCCAACAGAGCAGACTGCTGTAGAATGGCACAGGAGGCCAGTCAGTATTTGGGTTGCACTGTTGCAGATAAAAATGAGATGAGAAGCACATGTCCTCCGGGACATCCGTTGAAGTTGGAAAGATACAGAGAAGATTGGCATGTACCCTGTGCAAGGATGACAAGGATAAAAGAAGAAGAAGAAGAAGAAGAAACTGAGACGAGGAGCAGGCGCTGGATATGGTAAGTGGCCGCCCCTGCAGACTGGACAGGACTGGTTCGGGTGTGGACCGTGGAAGCACCTCATCCAATTCTCGCAGTTGCAGATATCAGATATCACACGCAACACCAACAGGCCTAACCCAGTTGGTACACCCATAACTGTTGAAATACAGATCCGAATTAAAGTCCAGATGCAATCAGATGACAGAATAAGATATTTCTGAATTACCTGGGGCCAGTTAGTTCAATGAGAATATCTCAAGGCCACAGCCAATATCACAGGCAACCATACAGAGAAGATTAGCATGGCCCCTGCACAAGGATGACACATAAATCGAGGGGGGGGG